ATGCAACCGGCCGGCCGGCCTTCCTGCCTGGCGGACCGCCTGTTGGCTATCTACGAGAACTCGCTAACTCCTTCATTTTTCTGTCCGCCAAGTGCTGTCACACATACGTTGAAGCGTGGACGAGTTGTGAAAGAAACAACTAACAACTGCGTATGCCGCCGGCGCCAAGGAAGCGCCGACGGCTAGGAGTCAGCCAGTGGGCTGGGAAAAAAGAAAGAAAAAACAAAGGCAGCCCGCGAAACGTCGAGAGACGGGCACTCGACAGCTCGCATGTCCATAATGATGACATACATCATCAACTTGATGATGAGAGCGCGCCTATAGTCGACTCGACCCGCCGTCAATGGGCCCAGCGACGTCTGACCGTGAGGGATGGGCATCGGTGTATCAGTAGCTGCTGGCTCCTGTATACTCGCTTCTGTATTAACGCAAACAAAAACTATTATGATTTGAAATAGCTGAAAACGTTTTGGGGGTTACGAGTGATCAGCTGCTGCGGGCGATAACATCACATGGGTCAACGGCGTCCACTGCAGTTGGCTCATGGCCGTGTGTCATATTGCACAAGAGACCTTGTTTCGCATATAGAAGCCAACATAATGGGTCAGCCATATAGCAATTTAGTTCATAAGTCACGAGAGATAGTGGCGCACTTTTCTGTCCAACTTGAAAGGTCGGCCTGATAAAGCCTTACGTATTAACTGTGTCCCGTTAGATTTGATGTAAATAACTGACAGAAGCTTCCATATAATCAGCCATATGACGTTGTATCGTAGAATTGCGCGATACTTGCAAAAACTTAACGATATATGCAAACTTCCTTCAAAGTGCGCACATCTAGCACACAAAGTAATTGTCATTTATTTTTTAAATTTAAATCAAACATTTCACCTGCTTCGAATTATATCCAAGGGCTCTTCTTGCAACGTATCTCTCTACGCAGTATAATTACGTTAAGGTCTAACTACGTAAAAAGAAGTATGCTACATACGACCGCGTCGTGAATCGCACTCCACTTGTTTGTCCAATTGTTACTTCGTTTTTCTTAAAACCCGTCCGAAGTTGAGCGGCGGCGGCGGCGTCGGCGGCGGCGGCGCGTCGCGCTGCTGCAACCAATGAGATCACAGAGAGACAGCTTTTCGCGCTGCCGTTCCCGTCCAACCAGAATTTATACGCTGCTAGATTTCGACGAAAATACATCATTGACTTGAACGCGGACGCCGTCTACTGTCGCGGCCGAACTAGTGGCGGCTGCTCGAGTGGTGCAGTCGTTCATTATTTCCATCTCGCTTGAGTGGATAAGCTCGTGCAAGTAAATTGTAAACGTCTCTAGCCTATACAACAACACGACTAACATTTAAACAATAATCATGATGATAAGAATAATGGCCATCAGCATCAGAATCACCGTCGGGTGCTAGAGACCAGTATCTTCATTATCATCTTAAGCAACCAGAGAATATGAATCGCATCAAACGGCGCCGATCACAAAGAACGGCGGACGCTACGGACAAACTCTCTACCAGTTCTATTATCGGATCTCGCTCTACAAATAGCAGCAGATCGCTGGCGGAGTTGACTGGCAGCGGGCTGGATGCCCTCGTAGTGTTAATGTGGGCTGTTGTCTTCTACTCCATTTCCAGTGCAAACGTCAATATAGAGAGGCAACCGCTATAGATCGTATGTAGCGATGCAAGGCTGCGGCCAGCGGGTCTGTTGTTTCTCCACCACCTTTAGTATCCTGCAATACACATGGGAAATAGTAACCAGCTGCCGGGCAAACTGTGTAAATGGGCTGTATTTAGCAACGGCTTTGTTTTGAGCACCATCCTGTTAACTATGCTAACTGTGATGCCTGAGGATGATGATGGGGCGACAATTCTATGGCCGTCAACGATGGTGCAGAGGCTAGGCCGTACAGGTTCGCTGCATTTACGATATCTTCATTACGAAAAAACACGTCACACGACAAAAGTAGCGCGGTATAAAACAATAACAACAAAGCAATTAGACAAAAATGATTCGGGCGACGGCCGAGAGACTGGAAAATTGTTTGCGCATGCTTGTACGTAAGGTATATATACATATCTGCAGGTCATGATTTGCATTTTGCTAGCATTGTTGTGGTACATCTGTATGTGCTTCGTCGTAAAGCCGCTTCCAAGATGTCTTTCGTGTGTCATGCCGATTCGGTCAGGTTGTTGGCTGGACCAGCAATACAACAAGAAACCCATAATAACAAGGGTCAATAACCAGTGCACCTCGCTCGAGTAAAGCTGAAATCGGATTTCATTGAAGTTGGCCAATTCTACAAACAGTACCAACATCATTATCCATCGCCGTCAACCCGCGCTCCTCAGGTAAAGAAGAACCACATCGCTGTGGGAGAAGAAGCGGATGAAAACGGCAGAAGGGAGGAATGAGAGGACTGCACGAAATTTGTTTTTTTTTGCTCACAAAAGTCTTCGTCGCCGCGTTTACTGTCGCCGTCTTCACGTCAGTAGATGACGGAGGACTACGGGAATATGTACGTTGATCAGTAGATCAGAGTCTCTAATCAGAAGCAAAGCTGAGATCTGCATCAGAGCTTGCTGTGTTCGAATGACCGGGTGTAGGCGAAAACGCTTAGAGACTGTGTGCGTCGCAGGTGGAGCACAGGTTTGTCTACCGCCGCGGCAATCAACCGTCGAACGCCGTTTGCCGGTAGGAATTGCTGATTCGTTAAATTCGCTTCGTCAAATTGGTGATATCCCAAATTCGTTTGACCCCCCCGCGCGCTCTGCTTGGTTTCTCGACTAGAATTTTGCTATGCTCACCCATTCGACCGATGGCCTGGGTGCCACGGGTAAGTCGAACAGTTGCAGAGCAACTCAGTGATAGTGGATGATGATAGCGCAAATCAATCATAGATGTATGACTGTGTGTGACCGAGCGCGCCATGTATGGATCCGAGATACGTTTGAGTGAGTGTCGAATGTGAGGGCGTGAAGCTCTCGTAATCGTCAAGACATATATCATAGTATACACCCATTCGAAACTCCCGGACGGTGCCTGGTGCACGACTCAGGGCTTACGTCCTACAGAACCAGGGGCGTGGTAGAATTCAACATGTTATTGAATGACAAAAACGCGGCTAAAGACTAATGCGATAAACCAGCTTTTAACAACTTGAGGCTGGCTCGGTTTATAGGACTTCCTGATAAGTGAAGTTCGCTAGATTCACGAAGAGTAACAGCTGATTTCGACTCTCGATAAGCCCAAACCGACGTGAAACGACGAAGCTTGATTTACCAACTGAAATACTAGAAACGTCGTATCATTTTTTCAGACTTAATTGCACAGATCTAGCAAACTGGGCTAACTTTCCCGTACACCGCTTTTCAGTTGTTATCAGGAAATTCAGTAAGTTTAACTATATCTGATGGCAGTAGTAACTATGATTCGATAATCAAGCTAAAATGATTGTGTGCGTGTTTTTCTGTGTGTTTACTGTTTACTGAATAAGCTGGGTTAGATGCAGAAGTCTGCAGTTGTCATATTTAATCAATCAGTCCAGTTCTAAGACAGATAACTGTAGTCATTATCACTACCTTTATGGTAAGTATTAATGTTTTCATAACCATTATTTCTTGACAGATAACGCCTTTATCGCAGGCAGAACGGGCGCAGCACCCTGAGATGTATGCACTATGGCGAATTGACGTTCTATATCACGTTATTTCTCTCACTAGCCGGCTTCTTCAATCGCCCAGCTTGTTCAGCTTATTTCCAGCCGTATCGGCATTCAATTGAAATCCATCAGAAATCACTGTCTAGTATCGATGCAAACACAAAACAGTTGTTGATAGCCATGCAGTGATACCAGTGTGTTCTTCTCCATCATCAAGAGTGTACTCCATCGTGGACTGCACCCTGCAAACCGTGCAGTATTGGCAAAATTGGCGCCAGTATCGCTGCTCCTGGAAGACCTGCACCTAAGCTTCACGGTTGGCTCGACTGCCTAACTCACGAGCTGAACTCTTGCGCACATGCGGTCATTATAGGAACCTTGGAGATCTACGGCTTCCTGCTTCTGCCGGGAGATCAAAGGACGCAGGATAGAGCATTCGGGTAACGCGTTCAGCGTCGTAAAAGCGACAGTCGTTGTAGACGCAATGGTTGTAATACGAACTCTTTGTAAAGCGTTCCCGCATTTATTACAATCTGTGTTAAGGAGCTTGTTGGCTGGCCGTTCGTACTGGTCGGTGCTAAAGAAGAAATAGCATTGACTGATCTCGATTGTTGAGCTAGGAGACAAATGTTTCCAAAGTATGCAACTCCGCCATAATTTCGTTCAGCGTTATGTAACTGTACAGTGCGTTGTTGAGTAGTGGGGCATTTCACATTTGACATATGTTAGACCCATTAACCAGGTGGCCAATTTGACTGCATTTCGAGCCTCTGATGCTTCCGTTTGAAACAGAAACGACCATTTTGTATTTGGGACCTTTGAAAATTTCCACTTCAGCTCGTGTTCGCCCTCAGTGGTTGGAAGTATTACAGAAGCACAACAAAACTCATTAGATTTAGAGGTCTTTACCACGATCGTATGGCGATGCCCTATTCTACTGTGTTAACAAACCCCTTAAACGTAGCCACGGTATTTTGAGATAGTCAGTTATTATGATGCCAATGCTGTCACACGACAAGACGTCTTAATTGAGTCCAATTTTGTCTCGCAATAGGTCTGCGTTCATCTTGCAGTGTTATGCCCATAGCAAAACCTAGTGCTAATGATATGGCCTTGCACTTCGAAACGGCATTGGGATATTTGAAATGAACAAGGGCTACTAATTTTAGCGTAGGGTTCAGGTTTAGCGCAGGTTTAATCACAGTTTCCAAACTCCCCGCAAAATGACTCTTCTTTTGCCAGAGTTGCTGTTGTAGAAGCAATGCACACGCGAGTTTATAGAACCTCTAATAAATTACAGAAAAAGTAAATAAGATTAGAAAATACTTACATTTTTAGGTAAGAGTCCTTTGATTCACTCGGCGGAGAGCGTTTTAGCGGTAACTGCAGATCTATTTCTAACCGGAAAATTGTTAGGGTCGCAGGTGGCCGTTCTCAGTTGGGTCGAGGCTAAGCATTAAAAAATTTTTTCGTTCCTTTTTTTTGTCAATTAGAACGACTATATATTTCATGCAGTGATCGAATGCCAGACTTCGCTGGGTATGTAGGTGGGATTTGGCGTTTGAAGCCGTTACAGGGCATGATTACTCTGTCGATCGGCGTGCTTTCTTAGAGACTTCGTTTAGCAGACTCGGCTCGTTCGAGATTGACTGGTCTCAAATATAGTTCGCAGCCCAAAGCGGTCGACGATCGCGCAAAATTATTGGACATTTACGTGGGTGAAAAGCAAACTCGAGAATCGAACTCGCGCGCACCAGGAAGTGATCAATCGCGGCACCATTGTGCGTGTATCCCTCTTAATTAAGCTCACACTACGATCGTTATTCCTTTAACAGCAATGTTAGCATTTCTGCTCCTAATCATATGAGCTCCATTCACACATTTTGCTGGTAGTGATATTTCTGGTCGGACCCGGGTTTTCAGGGCCGAGCTGCGAACTTCCACCTTGCACAAGTTGCTTAAACCATTGAGATATCGAACGAATAGCAAGGCGTAGTAGCACATGCAGTAATACGAACGGAAGGGATATACATATACGGAAATAGAGTAAGAATTGGTAGGGGTGTAAAACTTCGGGGAAGGCGTGGAAATAGAATTTTAAAAACCTCCTTTTTTTTTTCTCTCGTTTTTTCTTTCAAGTATTCGTTTGACCTTCCTTTATTCTAATATTTTTTTGGCATCAATTTCCCTATCACTAGCATTGCACCGCGTTGTAACGATAACTAACAAATAGCCAGATCTGTTCCGTCGGCTGCTGCCACTTATGCAGGCGTACAAACGAGTGGAGGTTGGTGTCATTGAGGTATCCAGTTCAGAACAGATTCACCTACCCCTAAGCTTCATTACCGATCGCGCAGTCACTGCCACTCTTCACACTGAAATTCGCGGTTTCTGATTTTGCCTGAGGGTTGTATATGAATATCTGATGCTGCTGATGACAGGTCTATTGAGTGAGAGTTCGTCGCAACGATGCCGTAACCAACGCGCAGGCTAAATCGAATGCTCAATAGATGGAAATACGTCGTTGAATTGCGTCTCGCCCGTTTCTGTCATTGCTCTAATTAGGACAATTATGATTACGCTGCAGAACCTGGACGCATGGATGGTGGACACATAGGTGTATATATATATATATATGTTGATATGAGAGGTCCACGTCCACAACTTCTCTTCGATGCTGTACCTGATGTTGAGCGAGTAAATCTGTATGGTAGTTTCAGTAATCGCAGAACAAGCCAAGGCACCTCGCGTTTCCGGAGGTGCGAAACACGAACACAAGTCAACACGATTCACGAATCAGTCAACTGCTGCACCATGTTCACGTTCCTCTCCGATATGGGCAAACAGCACACACGGTATGGTCGATAAATAGCCAGCGTTGCCAGTTGTCGACTACACCTCACATCTTCGTCGTTGTGGCAGCGAAAAAAACCACCGTTGACGACATAATAGGCAAAATCACTGAACGCTGCCGCCCCTGTGCGTCACCCCTCGGCGTGCACGCGCTAACTACGAAGAGAACAAAGTTGAAAACTAATCTATTATTAGTGAAAAACTCTGCCAGCACTCACAGCACTCGATTGACTTTCCCAACGTATCACCGGGTGTATAAACAGCACAAACATTCCCTTTTTTTTTTCTTTCTTTCTTTACACACTTCGTTACCAACGGCGGAAAAGTAAACGACGTAGAGTGATAACCTCTTCTTTGCCTGCTTCGATTTGATATCGATCCAAATCAATCAATCAATCAATCAATCAATATTAGTGATCAATTGGTTACTGGACTGATGGCAATTAATCAAGCAGACGACAATGGGTCGTTCGTCGGTAACCCGGTTAGTAATAAGCTTTCATCTATTAATATTCACTCGGTTGCGTATGATTCTTCACGTTTTCACAATAGTGATTTTAGTATCGACCGTTTGATCACCGTTGAAGCGCGGGTTATTGATTGGCTTTCAAATATTGCAACGCAGTTTTTGCTTCGAACCTATTCGATCAAACTGATTCGATCGTTCAATTGCAATTTGCTGCTGTCTTCGGCTTTGTCTTCGTTTAAATCGTGCCCTATTCACGCTTTTTCTCTTCACGATCACACCGTTGACGCAGCACTGATATACATTGAACGACACACGATCGAACGACAGCTCCAGCAGTTTTACAGTTCAGTAAAGGTGGTCGTAGCGGCCTAATGCTATCATTAACCAGCTCAGGCTGGCTGGCTGGCTGGTGGCCGCGCTGCCAGTACAGTCCGTACCGCTGGCGGTGGTCCGCCGCGCCTGCTGGTCACCACTGGCTGTCGCTAATGCTCGACCGAGCACCACAGACCTGACCGCTCACCGAAGCGCTTCGACTGCTACTAAATGCGTTCACCTCTCATATGACACCGTCAGGCAGGCAGGGGGATATTGAGGCGTTGAATGGCATCAGCCCCGACAGGGGGCGCCAGTGGACGACTTCGATCTTGCTATCAGTCCGAAATCCCGCCCAGTACGAACGGCCCTTTCCACTCAGCTGCAGCGAGCCCCGCCCCGCGAGAGGGTGGCCACAATAGCTGCCAGTCGCTGCCAGGCTGCCGGCGGAGTCGGTAGCATGTGCGAGCGATCCGTAACCATTACGACGATGGCAACTATGGCGCTGCTGCCAAGCGCTGTTTTGTTACGATGGATGATACCGATAGTTTGCCCGGGGCCGGCCGCACATCGTACAGCGGGCCTGCTTCTGCCGCTGACGTAGCTCATATATGTTTCACAGAAAAAAACGTCATTACACTTACTGACGATTACCTAACCCTATCAATATAACGTCAGTTGCGCAATGTGTGTCCTTGTTGGCCAGACAGGCACAGCAGCTAGCGTTTCTGCTGGCCGCTGTACGAGTGCACACATTGTGTCAATCTGGCAGGTTCGTTTTTTTCAGTTAGGCGCAAGGTCACCACCAGTAAAATTAGCAATAAAGGCAACAGCAGCAGTTTTAGGCTTGGCGTACCCGAGAGACCGGAATTCGTCGGAACACCTGCTACCAGCTGTCACTAGCTGGAAGAAGCTTTTGCCGGTGAGTCGCCTCGAAAGTCTTTTATGCGCTATTTTTGTGCATAATGGCCTATGAACTCAGATACGTCAGTCTAACCAGAGCTCGTTCCACTCGAAAACACAACGTTATGTTCGACGCTGAACAGTGGCTTGATTTTGCGAAAATCTGTTCAAGCTACCGGAAAAAATTGCCGGCCGTTGCTGTTGTAATACGCTTGCCAGTCTCAGTTAGGGCGACGGCTAGGCGATCGTGAGCGGAACTGGTAAGAGGCTTCTGACGGCCGATGTGTAGGGTATTGATTTTCTGCGATTGGTTAGAGACCGTCAGGACTGATACAGAAAGAAAGAAACATATTTATTTTATATCTAATAGCGATATTGCGATTGTATCGTAATTTTGACGGCTTTGCCGGTCGTAATTAATTAGTCATAACTTAATAGTTTACATATTGTTGCTGGCCGTAAGAGTCTGTACACTTCCCGCAACTAAGAAGAGTTCGCCGGATGAGCTTGAATCGGCCGTCTCTGAACGTTCTAATGTTTCTAGCCCAGTAGCCGTATAGAATGGTCTGTATACGTACAGGGCAGGTCTTTGACAGGTGATGTTGCTTAGGCAAAGTTATTTGCTGCCGATATTTAGATCAGCAATAACTCGCTAAGCGCAACAACTGTTGATCAGTAGCCAACAACATGAAACACTGTTGATAGGAGTGCATCTTTGAATACATCATAAACATTAACGAGAGCCTTGCACTGTCATGCCGTAATCCGTTCTCTTATCATCGAAATGTTGTTGGGCAAAAACCACTATCAATGTTAAGCACATGCAAGCTAAGCACAGTAGCTACAAACTGTAGCCTGGACTAAAGAAATGAGGCAAAATCTTATTTTCACTTAATCCAATTGAAACGAGTGTTAATTGCCAAAACTATAATTCTCAGCTTAAAAACAAAGGCTTTCCGGGAACATAAATCCGGCGTGTCCTCTCAAGTGGTTCGTAGTAAACACTCCTTCTCCCTTCCTTTCGCCCTCTCTCGCTGCCCCCCCCCCCCGCTCTCTCTCTCTCTCTCTCTCTCCTTAGACTCTAAATGTATTCACATCAAAACTAGAATGGCAAATCGGCTTCCGTTATCTATTTCTTCGATGGGTACTGCACCTTAGCTAGAGTGCCCTCTCAGCCTCTCTATAGTTTAAGCAATTTTGGGTGACTTCTTTCAGTACGCACGTCTCCAATATGCATGCACACATGGTTAATAACCAATATGCTCACGGGACGGGGCAAGCAGTAGCATCAAAAGTTGGAACCAGAAGGCCTTTGGTTTGGGAGCACGCGCGTATCGGTGCTGTCTTGTACTTGCCAATTTGTTAATAGATTAATATAGTAAAATATGAATGTGCTAAGTTAAACTTCATTGAACAATGCGCGACAATTTCACTAACCTTCTCTGTCATTTCTCCGTAATCACTGTCTCAATGAACGCGCATTTAATACAGTCTACACTTTAAGCCTTACTCAAGGCCGTTTCTATTCTTACTACACTGAATCCGAGGCTCCCAAGACTTTCACGATATGGGACTTCCTGTAGGCTATGAGCCATTGTTGCCGCAACAAATCGCGCGTGTGCTTCTTTGGCGTGTCTCACCGTCATCTTCCTCATATATACTCTAGCTGTGTACAAGTTTAGATATAATTGATATTTAATCATTCACGAAGGGCTTGGAGTTTAATTAATGTTGACGTTAAGCGTTCCGTCTGACATAACCCGATGAGAGCTCGAGCAGCAGTCTGACGCTTGAGTCATTGCACTGCGATATGAAGAATCAGGTAGTAGTTGCAGCCTTTTATTATCGCCTACAGTATAACGTCTACATGTAATCGTACTTGCCCCTGCCGGAAGAGCGTTAGAGCAAGTCCCGTATAAAAGTTTGTCGGACGATGGTATCCCGGTTGATATGGCTACTGACAGACGAACAGGATGATCTCGATGAGTCCGTAACTCTGAAAGGTCTTCAGATGCATTAGTGGCTATCGGCGCTATCTTGAGTATTCTAAGCAGACATTTATTATGGTCAGTTTTTTTTTGGCATCATCAAGGAACGAAAGATTGTGGGGAAGGGGTATCCCGTTCTTTAGAAACGTTGATACAGGTAATAGCTTCGTTTCAATGCTTGTCTGCAGCATGAATGATATGTACTGGTCGGTGAGGTGTTGTTGAAGGGAAATTTATGCGATTTTTTTCCATGATAGTTTTCGCGTCTATCATAAGAAGAAAAAATATAAATAGTTACAAAATAATAAACCATATCTTCGTATTGTATTACTAAATAGATCAATAAATATTCGCTGTCCACAACCTGTTAAGCTGCGCTCTCTCTGAGCACTTCTGTTTATTTAAAGTACCTACCTCTTGTAGAGCACTATCGAGCATTTGGCCTGCCGACAGCCTGACTCGTTAGGTCTCCGCAATCAACTATAGCGAAATCGGAACGAAAGACAGCAGCGATCCCTGCACGTTTCCATATGTAGCGCTGAATAGAATCAAACTTTGGCCATATTACAGGCATCTCTCTGTTTGCTCACGCATTTTTACCGATTTGTTTCACAGTACAGCCGTAGCGCTCGTTTCCGACGTTCATACCTCGTAGATCTGACGAGATAGGCATTGCTAAGGCATCCGACAAAGAAAGAGCTGCCCGCTAGAGATACGATCATCACAGCCACTACTACTTATGTTTTTATAGCACCTAGGGCCTTATTAAAAACGGACGTAAATATGGCCTACACATGCTGCCAATAATTATGAAGTTTGTATTATATTTCCACCGTATCACTCTTTTCCTTTATTCTTAATACCACTGTGATGCACTTACTAAACAGATTTCGAATAATATCAATTAGATAAATATTATCATTCTGCAATAGTACATACAACTATTTATTGCTTACTGCTTCAAGATTGCCCCAAAACAAGCCGGACCCTTTCTACTCCTAGAAGACGTTGCTAGAACCCTTTCAGTAAACCTAATCGTATGGCTACGATATAGTCTCAGACATGTAGCCCCGGTAGCAATGACGGCGGCGGCCGCACCAGCGCGAACGACCACTGTGATAATGGCATTCGTTCAATTTATGTTTTCCATTCAACGTAGTCTCCTTCTTGCTGTCTCTATTTTCTATCTCTTCATGTTTCTTAGCCTATGGCCGTGTCGTCCTGTGGCCTCGAAAATCGGAGACCGATTTGCTTGTAGGCGCAGTCTGTCCAGGTACGTACCACCGAGCTCTGAAGGTTTCGAACTCGACTCTTACTCTTCCCTTCAAGACTCTCGTTTTCCAGCGACCTCTCGCTCACAAATCGCGGTTTCCATCAACCAGCCTTTGAGTGTTCGTGGCCTCTGCGTGTACAGCCGTTGCCTTCTGCCTCCAGGCTCTCTTCTACAGACGCTCGTAAAAAGGAAATAGCATAGAAATTAATAATGTGCGCGGCCCTAAGTGTGTGTTTGTGTCTGTCGATGTGTGGATGAGCGTTTGGGAGAATGTCTATGCATGTATAGGCTTTTCTATGGCTGTGTCTGAATGTGTTCCAGTGCGAATGTATGTTATATATCTATACCTGTCTATACCTCTATTAGTATGAAAGTATCTGTGGTAGTGTAGTCGATGGTGAAGGTATATTTTTAGCAGGTAGCGGCGGCGGCAGCACCAGCGATGACTTGTGGTGGTTCGACGCGCTGGCGCCTAGTCGACGCTTTAACATGGCTTGGCAGAAGCAGCAGCAAAAAGGCGGTCACCGCAGTTATGGCACCCACAGTGACTCTACACACAAATTCTATGACGATTTCCTGTCCGTTTAGCGTGGCGCGGTTCCTCCGTTCCCGAACGTCCTGGTACCGTGCGCCGCCGCCGCCGCCGCCGCCGTTGCTGCTGCTGATCATAAACACCACCTTCTTTCCGGATCAGATCACTAGTTCAACCGGTAGCAGTGTATAGTCCAAGAGCATTGCGGTGGTATGCCACAGTCTCATGCGCCCACACTGACTAGCTGGATGGCTGTCCCGCTTCGTGATGCTGCTCCAGGGTATCAGCACAACCGAACATACAGCGTGGACATATTCCGATTTACTGATGCTCAGATCATAGCTTTTCTATGTCTAGCAATAGCTATTATTACTGTTGTGTTAAGCACGTAGCAGTAGTACCTTTTTGGTCGAGCTATGATTTTATGTCGATATATAATTTTGAAATCTTGTAGATTCACGAAAGAGTATAGGAAACACTATAGATGGAGAAGCGTGGG